TATATATATATATATATATTTAGCGGAATCTATGACAATAAATTACATTGTGTGTATCGATAGTCACAAATTAGAAATTATAATGTATAATGATTTTATTGTTAAAGGCGAAAAATTTAGTATCTTAGAAAAACTGTATTTGAATCCTTCATAACACGACTAAAAAGTAAGATATTAAGATAAAAAGAATACATTTTGTAGAGGATGAACAGTAGAAGTATATTCATGACTTCTAATTTCGAGATAACGTTAATCTTTTTTACAAGAACATTTTAAATATAACAAAAGAGCCATTTTTGCACATTAAATCTTAGTTATTTCGAAAACCTGACGTACTAGTGAAATTTAATTTGCGGCATCGTTTCCAGCATCCAAAAATCTATAAAAAATCATATTTCCTGAAACGTTTTTTCGTAAATTAATATTATCTTTATTCACAGTTTGTGAATGTAGCATCAAATTCATTTATTGACACTATGATTTTATCGAATGGTGAAAATGTGATATGTAGTTCACATCAATTTATAAATTTGATGTTGGTGTCGCTAGCCTATGTGACTTTCGCTTGTCACGCGAAAAAGGTCGCCATAGCCCTTCTCAGATTTCTCTCTGTCCGCTGCGAACCACAATCCATACATCAAAAATCTCTTATAGAAACGCATGAATAAAGATAGATCGTTGAGAGGACCATATCGAGCAAAAATCAATATTCAAATGAAAATAATGGTATACAATAATAAGGAGCATTGTACTATACCAAAACAGATGTCAAAATTAGTCAAACAGTTATAAATTAAAAAATACAAAGAAGGTCAACTGATGTGATATGAATTCCCATAGATCACATCTTGTTTACAATGTTCACATAAGCATAGTAAGAACTCAGTGTCAGATTTTGAATTCAAACTACTCTTGCGAATTAATGTGGAACATTTCAGACAAATCTTTTTCCAAAATATCTCTCTATCCAAGATGTTTACATTTTCCCAATTGAAATCATGTACTGTAACCTATGTTTCATGATTACCGATGGGTTGCTGATTTTCTTATTTATATTATTACGGTGTTCAGCAATTCTAGTTTTGAGTTTTCGTCCAATCTGTCTTATATAGGCATTACAATCCCTACAAATCTTATATATCACATTCTTATTACAACCATGTGGAAGTACATCCTTTTGAGATTTAATGATCCTTCAAATTTATTCATACTAAACCATGTCAGTTTAACATTTATATTTTTTGTGATGTTTTTAAATTTCCCATAAAGATGTGGAAGGAATGGAATTGTGAACCACGTAGTTTTCTCTTCATTGTTAGTAATGTCGGCAATCTGCTTGTCTCTTAAGTTTCAGTAAAGATCTCAATCGAAAATTTATCGTGTCGAAAATAAACTTCATGGGCTAATCATTTTCCAAAAAGATATATATAATAAATCTGAGATTATCTTCATGAAATTTCGGATGTGATAATAGTATCGTTTTATCTACAATGCCCATTAGAACACTTCTCTTTTGTGAGAATTTTATTGAATGGAGAGATAAGAAACTCAGGTACCTACCCGAAAAAGTTGATTTATGAAACACATTAAATTCTATCGTCATTAATGATTGTAACATCCAAAAAATTTAGTCTATTCCCTTCAATTTTTAAGGTAATCTTGGATGTGATGCATTAAACATTTCTAAAACCTATCGATTAAATTGTGAGATACAGCAGTAGCAATGTCATTATTTAATTATTCAACTAATTAACGATGCTTCGTAAATTTGAATTTGAGGAGGCTTCCTTAGCTGCGGACTTGGATCTTATCGTGAATAATTTTTAATGTGTGCTAGTTTTTATTTTGTATGTAATCTTTAATAGTTTATCTCGTTTTTTTTCTATTGTTTTCTTTTCTAGCGCTACAATTTAGTTATATTATAATTTATATTCAGTTATATTATTTCAACCTTATGCTATATTTTCACCTTGTGCTATTATTTCACCTTGTGCTATATTTTCACTTATATTATATATTTTTTTATAGGATCAGACTCATATTTGCGTTTTCCGTTCACTTGTAATCAAAGGATATTCATTCTTTTTACTAAAATTGATATTATAAGCATTTTAATGATTGACTGCAAGTAGCTATTATTCGCGTACGTTCTTTTCCGTTATACATTATAACTGTGAACATTACTATAATTGTTTTTAGGTTATCAGCGTTTGCCTTAGAGAGCGAAATATATTTTATTATGTTTTTGTTTTTTTTTCGACTGTTATTGATTATGTATGTTTTTATTATTGAGAATGATCCGGTCTATTGCTAGCATTCTTTATTAAACATTTTTAACTTAAAACATTTTCGTTTCTTTTGTTTTTTGTATATTTTATATTATCGAGTTTTGTTTTATATAATAATTTTTGGTAGCCCTCTTTTTTCTTTGTTTTCTAATTTTTGATGTTATTTGGACATCGCTGAGGATGGCTCGAACTGAGCTGAAACGTCTGATTTCATCATATTTGTTGTAAGGTCTTTGAAATACGTTGTTAACGTATAACTTTAATTATTGTGTTTTAATTTTTGTTCTCAATTGCCTATCTATTAATATATGTTTATTAATTAAAAAATGTATATTTATATAGAAATATTATGTAATTGTAAATATATGCTATGAAAATATTATGAGAAAACTGATATAGAAATAGAAAAGAAAATTTGTATACACATATATGCCCTAAAATAAATTTAAAATACAATAAATAAAAAGAAATCTTTCTTGCTCGGTTTTCTATGTTGCTCTTGTTCACTTTTTCACTTCATCACTTTTTTACAAGAATTAGACCAGTCTTTCGAAGTTTCTTACACAACATTTCATGAAATGGACATTACACTTCCCTCCAAATTTCTACTCTGAATCATGTGTGCTTGAAAGACAAATGTTTAAATGGAACATTGAAATGTTATTATTTAAATAGAGAGAGAAATAGAGAGAGAGAGAGAGAGAGAGAGAGAGAGAGAGAGAGAGTAATAAAGAAGGAGAAAATGAGACAGGGCAACTTATTTCACGCATACGCACTCCATTTTGGCCAATATAAAAGCAGGAGAGTTGCGCTACTGTATATATTGTGTTTAATATTTTCAGAGTTTAGTTTTACTTCAGCTTTCGTTCCTCGAACATCTCTCACCGTGTGAGCATTGAAAAAATAAAAGTGAGAGTGAATAAAAGATAAGGAATGAAAAACAAGGCATCCAAAAATGGATTTGAACACAGAAGAAATCCGCGAAACGCATAATCTTTATATAAAAAGGACTCGTGGAAGTCTCAAGAATATTATCAAAGGAAACTGTTCTTTTGTGATTTTTAATAATAAATATTTTTCTTTTTTAGGTAATTACAAGAGAGCGCGAAATAACGAAAAAAATGTTAATAATAATAGCATTTTGGCTGTTAGTTATTTTAATTTGTTTTTGGATTTTATTTGATACTTTTCATGTTTTATGGGAAATTATTATGCAAATATACAATAAGAAGACAATCGATTTGCAAACAAAGTTCAGTGAATGGGCAGGTAAGTCTAAAAAAAATTATATGTCTCTTAAATTTTAATTAGCTTTATAAATATTATTTAATTTATAAATATCACTTAAATTATTGAAAAATCTTTGATTATTAATTGTAATATTTTATTTTATCATTTTGGACATAATAGGACATTTGCAAAACAAAAAAAGCAATGAACGTTTCGCAAAAAATAACTAAAGAAATTTTTTATTAATTCCAATATAAAAATAAATTATGTTTAAATATTATTTAAAAAAATATAAAATTAGAGTAATTGAAATCGGGAT